GTTTTGAGACTGCAAGGTCGAGTTTGTGTGCCTGATGTGGATGGTCTTCGAGAGTTGATTTTAGAGGAGGCCTATAGCTCCCGGTACTCTATTCATCTTGGCGCCGCGAAGATGTATTAGGATTTGTGGCAGCATTATTGGTGGAGGAGAATGAAGAAGGATATCGTTGCATATGTGGATCGGTGTTTGAATTGTCAGCAGGTTAAATAAGAGCATCAGAGGCCCGGTGGTTCATTTCAGAAGATTGAGATTCCTGAGTGGATGTGGGAGCATATCATATGGACTTCGTTACTGGACTCCCACGAACTCAAAAGAAGTTTGATGCAGTGTGGGTCATTGTTGATAGGCTGACCAAGTCGGCGCATTTCATTCCTGTGGCAGTCTCCTATTCTTTCGAGTGGTTAGCTGAGATCTATATCCGGGAGATTGTTCGTCTTCATGGTGTGCCCGTGTCTATTATTTCGTACTGAGGTACGCAGTTTACCTCACATCTATGGAGAGCAGTTCAGCGAGAGTTGGGCACACGGGTTGAGTGGAGCACAACATTTCATCCTCAGACGGACGGGCAGTCCGAGCGGACTATTCAGATTTTGGAGGATATGCTCCGAGCTTGCGTCATTGACTTTGGACGCTCGTGGGATCAGTTTTTGCCCTTAGCAGAGTTTGCCTACAACAACAGCTACCAGTCGAGTATTCAGATAGCTCCTTATGAGGCTTTATATGGTAGGCGGTGTCGGTTGGATGGTTTGTGCCGGGAGAGGCTCGGTTGTTGGGTACGGATCTGGTTCAGGATGCCTTGGACAAGGTCAGGATCATTCAGGATAGGCTTCGTACAGCTCAGTCCAGGCAAAAGAGTTATGCCGACCGCAAGGTTCGAGATTTAGCTTTCATGGTCGGTGAGCGGGTATTGCTTCGAGTGTCGCCTATGAAGGGCGTGATGAGATTTGGGAAGAAGGGAATGCTTAGCCCTAGATTAATTGGCCCGTTCGAGATCCTTGATCGAGTGGGAGAGGTGGCTTATAGACTTGCATTGTCGCCTAGCTTATTAGCCGTGCATCCAGTGTTTCATGTATCCATGCTTCGGAAATATCACGGCGATCCATCCCACGTGTTAGATTTCAGCACTGTCCAGTTGGACAGGGACTTGTCTTATGAGGAGGAGCCGGTAGCTATTCTAGACCGGCAGGTTCGTCAGTTGAGATCGAAGAGTTTTCCTTTCGTTCGTGTTTAGTGGAAAGGTCAGTCTACTGAGACATCGACCTGGGAGTCCGAGTCGGATATGCGGAGCCGTTATCCCCATCTTTTCCCCGACTCAGGTACTTCCTTCTTATGTCCGTTCGAGGACGAACGGTTGTTTTAGAGGTGGAGAATGTGATGACCCAAAAAGTCATCACTTATTTTTAAAATAAATTCTACGTCTCGAGGCCTTAGAAACCTCTTTTAGCTTTACCTCGATTTGCGTGCGCAGTCCGGGAGCGTAGCCGGAAAGCTATTATGTGAAAAATCTGTGAAAATATTGAATTTTTGACTTAAAATGCATTTAAGTTGACTTCGGTCAACATTTTAGGTAAACGGACTCGGACCCGTGATTTGATGGTCCCGAAGGTTCCGTGGAAAAATATGGGACTTGGGCGTATGCCCGGAATCGAATTTCGAGGTCCGAAGTCCGAGAAATGAATTTTTAAAAGAAATTATTTTTTGAAAAATATAAAGGTTTTTGAAAGTGAAATGTTATGTGAAATCTGTGGTATCGGGCCTGTATTATGGCTCCGGAGCCCGGTACAGGTTCAATATAATTTATATGTGTTGTCGGTAAGGTTTGGTAAGAAACGAGATCCATTTGACATGATTCGAACCTTAAATGCAAAATTTGATGTTTAAGAAGTTTTGAGAAATTTCATTGATCTTGAGGCTTAATTCATAGTTGTTGATGTTATTTTGGCGATTTGATCGAACGGATAAGTTCATATGATTTTTTGAGCTAGTATGCATGTTTGGTTTGGAGCCCCGAGGGCTCGGGTGAGTTCCGGATAGGTCTCGGGAGGTTTTTGAACTTAGGAAAATTGTAGAATTTGCTGTCTGCTGGTGTCCAGGTGTTCGTACTATGCGATCGCATAGGGAGGTTCGCGATCGCATAGTGTAAATTTCAGGGGGTCCCTTTTGTGCTATGCAATCGCATAGGTTCTTCCGCGTTCGCGTAGAGTAAATTCTGGGAGATCACTAAATTGTTCTATGCGATCGCATTGTTTCTTCCGCGATCGCAATGTATTAAACCAAGCCTGGGAAGGAAAGCCGTTTTTCTTCTATGCGATCGCACTTCCTTGACCGCGATCGCAGTGACCAATCTCCCTTACCCTATGCGATCGCATTCCTTTCTTCGCGATCGCATAGACCAAAATCCACCCAGTTATTTTTAAGTTCAAAAACAAAATGTATTACGGGAGTTTCACCATTTTTCACAAACTCCTTCTTCTCCACACCTCTTGGGCGATTTTTGAAGAGAAACTACACCATAGCTTCATAGGTATGTAATCCTAAGCTCATTTTCTTCCATTTTTATCAACACCCACTAGATTTCTAGGCCTAAAACATAAGATTAAGGGTAGAAAATTAGGGATTTGGGTAGAGTTATGACTTTTTGATTATTTGGAAATTTGACCTCGTTTTGGGGTCCCGATTTCAAAACAAATTATAATTCGGGCTCGTGGGTGAATGGATGATCGGGTTTTGGTCCGAACCTCGTGTTTTGACCAAGCGGGCCCAGGTCAAGTTTTGACTTTCTGGGAAGAATGATGGAAAAGCTATAATTAAGCATTGTAATTGGATTGTTTAGCGTTTATTGATGTTATTAAGTCGATTATGTATAGATACAATTGATTTGGAGCCAAATTCGAAAGGAAAAGCGGTGTTTGAGGCTTGAGTTGGCCGTGAAAGTTCGAGGTAAGTGTTTGGTCTAACCTTATCTTGAGGGATTATGAGTTGTGTCCTTTTTCCTACATGTTACTTGTTGAGTACGATGTATAGGCATGGTGACGAGTATCTATACGTTGGTGTCAAGCATGACCGTGAGTCTTAAACTGAAATTATTGTGTTCTTAAATGATACTACGGATGCTTAAGTTGATGATTCTCTGTATTGAGCAAGGATTTTGGTTATTCTCGTGGAAATTACTTATGATTGAGTATTGGTGTTAGTTGAGGTAGTTTGATGTTGGAACAAGTTTGGTTATAGCTGTTTCTCCCTTGCCGGGATATATTTACTTATACTGTCGATTCCCTTGCTGGGATAGCGATGTTTCTTTATTGATCCCTTGGAGGGACTCTACTTGTGCATTGGTATTGAACTGAATATGTGGATCGGATTGCACGCCGCAACAGTGATAAATGATATGGATCGGGTTGCACGCCGCAACAGTAATAAATGATATGGGTCGGGTTGCACGCCGCAACAGTAATAAATGATATGGATCAGGTTGCACGCCGTAACAGTAATAAATAATATGGATCGGGTTGCACGCCGCAACAGTAATAAATGATATGGATCGGGTTGCACGCCGCAACAGTGATAAATGATATGGATCGGGTTGCACGCCGCAACAGTGATAAATAATATGGATCGGGTTGCACGCCGCAACAGTGATAAATGATAAGGATCGGGTTGCACGCCACAACAGTGTTATTATGTTTTGAATCGGGTTGCGCGTCGCAACAATAGAAAATACGAATTGTTTATAGATTGGCTGCAAGTTCTTCATTGCTTTGCTGTAGACTCTAAACTGTTCCTTATGCCCTTCTCTTTAATTACTGTTGGTATTGATGTTCCCCGGCATCATGTACCCCCTCCCATCTTTACTTGTTTATTCCTGTTTTATTTTCCGTTGCATATTATATAACTGCACAGGTTTATTTGATAGTCTGGTCCTAGCCTCGTCACTACTTCGCCGAGGTTAGGCTAGGCACTTACTAGCACATGGGGTCGGTTGTGCTGATACTACACCCTGCACTCTTTTGTGCAGATCCCAGTGCTGTAGATTTCGGACCGCAATGAGGTTGCTGCTTCTGGTCCATCAGGCGACCCGAGGTAGTCCTGCAGGTGTCCGCAGGCCTTGGCGTCTCCTTCTAGCTATTATTCCTGTTTCTTTCTTGTATCCAGAGAAAGTATTGTATTATTTCTTCCAGACCATTATTTGTGGTAATCTTAGACAGTCTGTGAAGTTGTGACACCAATCTTGGGTAGTGTTGTTATGGAATGGTATTAGCAGTATTATTAAACTTGAAATTAAGTCTTCTGCTTGTTAAATTTTGTTGATTATTAACTGTTGGATTATAACTGTTAACGGATTTAAAAATGGAAACAACGCAAATAATTCAGTTGATTGGCTTGCCTAGCTTTCACTAGTAGGCGCCATCACGACTTCCGAGGGTGGGAAATCCAGGTCGTGACATTATGATTTATAATATTTTTATATAATTCAAAATATGTCGATTTCGTACCGAAAGTCTATTAATTCTCAAATTTTGCTATCTTTTGGATAAAGGAGGGAGTAGTCTTTAGGCAAGAACATCCAACAACTAACCAACTAAATAGTGTCCCCTCCAAAATGAACAGCCCAGCACTAAATTAGACCTAAGTGCATAAAATAAAGTGTAAACCAACAGAGATTAACGGAAGTTGGTCTGACCTCTATCTTCACTTCATTTTCTCATTTGTTATTTCAATTTCGCGGTTGGTTATCTAATCAAAGACTCTGTCTCTCTCACTGACCCATGTTGACCTATTCTTTGGAGTCTTGGCTTCTAATTTACTGCCCTATATCGACACTTGACTACTAAATATATGCATACAATACTTATTACGTATTTAAAATTTAACTTATTTACCTGAATAGTGTAAAGAATATTTATATAATATCTGTGTAATTTAAATATGTTTATATACGGTACAGAAATTAAGCTCAACTAATTTTTATAATAGAAAGAGAGTAGTTTGACGGGTAAAAGGGCGCCTAAAATGGAGGCTTTGGCGTCTGCTACTTTTGGTCCTATTTTGAAAGTGGTTGATAAAACTTTACCTTTTCCCTCTTCTCCTCCTCCTGCTTTTACTTACGTTATAGCCTAGGCAGTTTTATTATTAAGTGATTTCTGTTACACTTATGCCAAACCCAATAAATTTTTCTGATCTTTCTCTTAATTTATCTGTCCTCCTTAATTCCAAAAGCAGCCAAAAATCAGCAGTTTTATCTCCTGTCTTTGGGTAACTCTTCCTGCTTTTTCTCCTTTTCAGCATCTGTTAGCTTTTACTCTCAGCTTCTCTGCTCAAAGGTGACGAAATTTCTGCTTTTTTGGTGTTTTTTTCTGCTTTTCTTTCCATTAATGGTAGTCTCTGTTAGATTTCTTTCGCTGTTCCATTAATTAATTTTCAATTTACTTTTTCTTGTTTTGCCTTTTCTTTCAAGATTATGGATTTCTAATTTTTAACTATTACTATAGGAAATAGGTAATCTTCTCCTTTGCCTTTTAGGGACATTTTTTTTCTTGTACTAAAGGATTATTTTATTGTGAAAAAACATGTTTGATTCTATTGTGTTTAGTTCTTGATTCCTCATACGTTTTTATCTATGTGAGGATTGTTATAAATATTGTCAAAGGAAACAAGGAACTGTTACAAAAAACAAGAGTTGCAGTTCACCTAATTGCCTGCACATAACCACTAAATTTCTGCAAAGTTCTTTTAAGTTTTACAATTCACTTCTTAATATTTCAACTCATCACAACACGTGTGTATGTTAGTATATGTTTACTTTTGTGCAATTTAAGTAATTCATGAAGGGATTTTGAGTATTGGATTGTTTATTTTTTACCAGGCTATATTTCAGCAAAATTAATATTATGGGAAAGAACAAGTGGACTAGGCATGTTGATCATGAAGATGAGAATATACATCCAGGTTGCATGTGGGGACTCATACATGCCTTTGGCTACCATAGTTGGCACTCTCGTGTAAAGAGGAAATCTCTGCCCAGAATCGCAAGTAAGTCATTCTTAAGTGAAATATGGGAGATTTAACTTATATATACAGTCAAACATCTCTATAATAGCCACGATTGTTCCGAATATTTTTGGATGTTATAGCGAGGTGCTGTTATATAGAACATATATTATAACATAACATGAAAATTAGTTCCGGAAAAGCTTGGCTTTTTAGTGAAGTGTTGTTATATATGGATGCTGTTATAGAGAGGTCTGACTAGTTACAGTTTAAAGACTATCGGTTATTGTTCGGGTTATAATATCATGTTTCTTACAAACAAACAGTTATTGCTGGCAACTTAACCTGATGGTATTAAAATATTATAACTGTCGGGGTAAAACTCTCATTCTGGACTATCTGGTTTGTTCAATTCAGTGTGTTAACAAATTCTTGTATTCTTCCTTCAATAGGCGATCGTCTTTCCAAAGAAAAATTGGTTGTCCAAGATCCCAGTGAACTAAATATGTTTTTGGATGACAATGAAAGTCAGTTCTTGGTAAGTATTTATTGCTTGATAATCAACTGTTTGTAAGTTAAATCAGTGTCCAAATGTTTCAAATTGATGAATGAAACTAATATTGTCATATCCTTAGGTTGATAAGAGCACCAGAAAATCAGGGTTGCCCAACAAAAGGTCTCTAAAGGCTAAAATAAAAGCTTTAATTGCTGAGGAGATGCATAAGGAAAAAAAGAAGTCCAATCAGAAGAAATCAGGCTATTCTAACCAACCTAAGTTCCAGAGAACTTGTTCAATTCATCATTATGAACCAACCGAAAATGACCTAAGCGAAATATGCAGCAACAAGAATGTGGAGAATGGAGCCACTGGCTCACTAGATAAGAAACAGATCAAGGCCATAGACGGATATGATACTTCCATTGATAAGAATGCTTTAAAATCTCAACTTAAAGATCATGCAGAATTATTTTTGGAAATTTTAAAGGAAACAGAAGTAGGATATCAGAATTTATCCAACGGTCATTTGGCTTCAAAGAAAAAGGCAAGATTAACTAAGTCAGGATCATACCCTGTGTCTCATTTTTCACAAAGAACAAACTTCAAACCAAGTAAGCTTGAGGACAAGAAGAGTGAAGTTTGGTCTTTTGCAAAAGGGGAAAGATTGACAAGTGGTGCTCGATCAAGATCTTTGTCGAATTATGCAAAGACTCTCTTCACAAGTTTAGGGCTCCTGGATGACGATGGTGGAAACGTGAAGCTAGAGAAGTCGTCGAGCTTTGCCTGCCACAGTATCAAGGGAGCAGTTGATAATAAAGAAAATAATGAAGAGCTCGTCGATGTAGAAGAAGTAAATAAGCATGGCTCTACTTATGAATTGTTTGAAGATTTGAATGGAGACCTTCATGAAGAGTATAAGGTGGGAACAGACAATGAAAGTAAGTCCAATAGTTGTTGTGAAATTGATGGATTTGATATTAGAAAAACTACGATCATGCACAGGAGAAGTTCCTCTCTAAATGAGTCCATGGATAGATATAGCAAATTATTGGAACATAGTTTTAAAAAGGAAGTGAGCTTGAATCCCTCCAGGAGTTTGAAATTGACTAGTGAATACGAGATATCATCGATGCCATTCAGAAGGATCCGTTCTCTATCGAATGGGATTCCTGGTGATGCCCAATTTTCACAATGGCTAATTAGGACTTTAGAGGAGACAAACTCACATATCAGAGCTGAAACTGAGAGAGAAGAGAAGTCGATTCATAATCCTTCTATCAGCTACGTCACTGAAGATACTGAAAACAAAGTAGAAAGAAGTGAGGATATTCAGACAGTAGAAACTACAACAAGCTTAAAAACAAAGACAAATGAGGAAGGTAATGCTGAAGTCGAAGACCTTTCGGAGAACATTAATGATGTAACAGTGTTCAAAGGAGACTCTCATGAAGAACAAGAGATGAAATGCACTAAATCAATCCTAAGTGATATGCTTCCAGATTCTGAAATTTCCAGCTGTGAAGAGTTCCAAATTTCAGAAGGTATACTTCCTTTTGTCATTAATCATCAAATATTTTTAGTATTTGTATATACTAAGGCATTCCCTTTAATAACTTCTACTTAATTGGTTTCTTGTGGCTCAGGTTTGGTTCTTAAACACAATGTTGATGTTGATGTTGATACTCTTGTAAAAGCAGATCGTCACAATAAATCCTACAAAAAGGAAAATGCAGACTTGTTTTATGTGAGGGAGATTCTTGAGCATTCGGGTTTCTCAAGCAATTTCTGTAAGACAACATGGTATTCAGCTACTCAAGTATTAAACCCTTCAATAGTTCAGGAACTAGAGTCCTTTTGGCACCAAGAACAAGAGTACTGCTGTGTAGATAACTTCTACTTCTGCTGTCATCATCAGCTACTATTTGATTTGGTTAATGAGGTTTTAGTTCAAATATATGACAGATCATTCACATACTACCCTAAGGCCTTATCCTATAGTTGTCGTGTTCGCGCATTGCCAGAAAATCGAATGGTTGAAGAAGTATGCAAAAATGTAGATACCTTGTTAAGGTTGAAACCAGAGCAAGAATCAATCGATGCCATTGTAGATCGAGATTTGAAAAAGGATGATGGTTGGATGAACCTCCAGTTAGAAAGTGAATGTCTAGCACTTGAATTAGAGGACATGATCTTCAATGATCTTATGGAAGAACTTAGCTGTCCTTGAGTTTGTAGAGTTACCTGTTGTTCGTATTCTGTAATTCATCATCATTAATTTTTGTCATGAATTTTGGTTTTGCTCAATGTATATATTTAAACGATTGATATGTTCAGTTCAGTAGTAGAAAAAGTGTTTCTCCTATGCCAAACTAGGTAGTATAAATTACCTACTAGTACAAAAGTGTTTCTCCTGTTATCAGTTGTCTTGAAATTACAAATTTGAAGTAAAACAACGTTGATATTTGGGGACTGAGCTTTCAAAACGTGAATAGTCAAAGGCCCCGTTTGGCCATGAGTTTTGCCAAAATAAATTTGGGATTTATTTTCAAAACTCATGTTTGGCCATAAATTTTGCCCATATTTTGGCCAAATCCCAAATCTCAAATTTCAAATCCCAAAATCAGCTATTGAGCTGATTTTGGGCCAAAATCCCAAAACTTGGGAATTATATACTTGTTTTTCCAAAATAAAGTTGAAATTATAAGCTTTCAGGTAAAATGAGAAAACATTTCATGGGTGGTCATTCAGCTTTTTGTTCATTTCCCAAAAATAATTTTTTTTTAACGTAAAAGTCATTCAACTTTGTATTCATTACCCAAAAGTCACTATTCTTTATTTTATTACATAATAATTATTTTACTTTGCTCTGGTTATCACAATAGTCATCACCGTAACTAGATTTTATATTACTTCTATTTGAAAAGTCTAGTATACCCTTGACATTATAAATCCTTCCATTTATGTAATACCTTCAATGTTATATACTATATAATATATATTTACCTACGTATTTTACTTATAATTAAATAACTTTATATTATTTTATTTGTTATTTTATAATATGTCCGTACATTTAACTTTTTTATGACACTCAATATGTTTAATCATATTCAAACATGAACATATTTTAAAATATTTTTTTTGGTAATTAAATTTTTTTATTTACCAAGTAAATATATACAAACAGATCAAAACGAACTATAGCACAGTTTGGACAGATGGCCCCAAACCTACATCTTCATCTCTCCTAATACTTCTATCCCTATCCCTTTGCTATGTTATATACAGATTTAAGGGTAAAAATTCAACTAAGTCATCTTCCGTCGTAATCTAACACATGATGTGCTGCGACAATGTACCTTCTGGATGATGTGCCTAACTATACTCATCATTGGTTTACTCTTTCCTTGGAACATTCGATATTCCTCTCCGTCCATATAGCGTAGATAGTAGCTGCAAGTGGCATCCCATAAATTTGTGCTTCAGCAGATTTCCCTTTCCCCTGTTTCTTTGCCCATTCCTTTTCTATTTGCCATGCCATCGATTGCCTTACCAAGCCTTGCCACTGCAGAATCTTCTTCCATATAGTAGCTGATACTATGCATTCAAAAAATAGATGTTCAATGGTCTCCGGCATTACTTTACAAAGCATACACCTTAAGTCCCCAATCTGCATCCACTGTGCTAATCTATCTCGCGTGAGCAGTCTGTTGTTTAGAGCTAGGTACAGTATGAAAATCCATCTAGGTGATCCTTGGTTGTTGCATATGAGTCGTCTCCATTCCACCTTTTGAAACTCCCCTCTCAATTTGTTGTAAATAACCTTCGTAGAGAACTGTTGCATGCATTTGACATCATCCTCTATATAACCTGCATCAATATAAGTTTCTTTAGCCTTCAATATCTTCCTCACCAACCATGAAGCTTGTCTTGCTCGTGCATCCCAAACAGCTCCATCCTTTATATAGTAAATGTGTATCCACTGGACCCACAACTTGTCTTTCTTTTGACATAGATTCCACAACATTTTACAAATGGCAGCCTTGTTCCAAGTTCTCACATCTAAGAAGTTGAGTCCTCCTGCTGTCTTGGGATAGCAAAGCTTGTCCCATGCTATTAACGCTTTCTGTGCCATGTCTACCCTCCCTGTCCAAAGAAACTTCTTACATATTTATTCAATTGCCTTCACCACTTTTTGTGGCAGAATGAATACCTGAGACCGAAACACTTGCACCGAAAATAGGACAGATTTGATTAACTGAACTCTACCAGCATAGCTTAGTAGCTTTGCAGTCCATGAGGTGACTCTGCCCATAATTTTATCAAGAAGTGGTTTATATTGTAAAATTGGTGTCCTTTTAGTACTCAGAGAGACCCCTAGGTACCTAAAAGGCATTTCTCCTTTTGCAAACCCCAGCATTTGTATTATATTGTTCTGCTCCTCTTCATGCACTCCTCCAAAATAAATGGAGCTTTTTTCTATGTTTGCCTCTAGACCAGAGCTTTGGAGAACTGTTGAAAGCAGTTAAACACCATTTTTATAGACATTATATCTCATCTGCTGAACAATAAGAGGTCATCTGCAAAGCTCAACTGTACAATGTTCAGCCTTTCACACTTAGGGTGATAATTGAAATCAGGTTGCCTCTTTAGTGTCTTCAAGATTCTAGTGAGGTACTCCATTGCTAGCACAAATAGGAACGACGACATTAGGTCCCCTTTCCTCAAACCTTTTTTTGCACGGAAAGGGGCAGTAGGGTACCCATTTATGATAACTGAATATGAAACTGACCTTATACATGCCATCACCCATTGTATAAATTGATCAGGGAAGTGAAGATGAGTGAGGATCTGCTCTATAAAGCACCACTCAACTGAGTCGCAGGCCTTTCTCATATCTAGCTTCAACATGCACCTCGGTGATACCCCTTTCCTTCCATAGCCCTTCACCAATTCATTACTCAGTATTATATTGTCAGTGATCACTCTTCCTGGTACAAAAGCTGACTGACCCGGATCAACAAGATCATTCATTACCTCTTGCATTCTATGTGTCAGTATTTTTTAGATGATCTTGTACAATATCGTACAACAAGATATTAGCCTAAACTCAGAAATTCTCGTTGGATTTTGTACCTTAGGGACCGGTGTTATGGTAGTGCAGTTGATGGTTTTACACATGACCCCTGTGTCAAAGAATTCCAACACTGCTTTAGTAACGTCTTCTCCTATGACCGGCCAGGCTTTTTTTTAAAGAAACATGCATTGAAGCCATCACACCCAGGTGCTTTAATGTCATCTATGTCTTTGAGAGCTTGGACAACTTCATCTGACGTTACAGGTGCAATGAGTCCTAATTGCTGTTGTCTATTCAGTGTTCTTCCTTCCTGCATAATCTTGGCATTTACAGCTGGTAGTTGGCTAGCAGCAGACCCCAGTAGCTTGCCATAGAAATCCAAAATTTCCCTTTTTATGCCTTCTTGATCCTGCACCATGTTCCCCTCAGCATTTATTAGACTCTTGATCTTGTTTTGTGCCATTCTATTCTTCATGTTAGCAAAGAAAAAAGCATTATTTGAGTCACCTAGTTTTAGCCACTGTATTCGAGCCTTTTGACGAAATATTCTTTCCTCAATATTGCTCCATTTCTCTAACTCTGCTTTAATTGCTCCTTCCTGATCAAACAATGTATGCCCAGGTCCCCTCATTTGAGTTTGCAGGTCTGCTAATTGTTGTCTTAGCATACTCACTTTCTCACTTACCCTATTAAAGCCCTGATTCAATTTCTTCATCTCCTGTTTCGCTGTTTTCAGCTTCTGCCATATTTTATTCATACCATTTCCATTAGTCCTTTGGTTTCAAGTTGTTTCCACTGCCTTAATGAAGTTCTCATGATCAGCTAGACAATTAAGGAATCGAAAAGTCCTGGGTCCTCCTTGTAGCTCTTCTTCCAGCTTGATACATAGGGAAAGTGGTCTGAGAAATATGGATCCATGATGTCCTCCAAGTGATGATTTTTGATACACCATTCTGAGTTTACGAGTGCTCTATCAATCTTGCTATAGACATGTGTATTTGTCCAAGTATACTCTCTTCCTACTGATTTTCATTTCAGTCACTCCAGTATCAAAGAGAATGTTACAACCCATATTCACATACGTTAGTTCATGCCATAAGGTCGTCGACGTAAATCCATGAAGAGATTATCTTTGAGATGATAAGAGATTAATCCTATTGGTCTTAAATGATACAAAGGTGTATAAGGGTGGTTAACAAGTATTAGAAGTTAAACGAATCAAGGATGTTGTCAGCCGTATTTTTGGGTAAACCTAGGGGTGCTTAATACTCTCAAGAGGTCGTATTTTAAGGTATATGAATCATAAAATATCCGTATCATAGTCTTGAAGTCAAACGAGTTATGAAACAAAAGTCGACAAGAGTTGTTGCAACTTAAGTTCATAGTTTTACTTAAACTTTAGGTCAAATGTTATTAAGCTTTTCTCCCAATATACTTGGAATTACGGGGTGATCTACCCACCAAATTGAAGATCTATGAGTCTAGTTTCCAACGCATTAAACCTTTTATCAATACGACATTGGAGTAGAGAGATATAGACATTTTTGCGAGACTGCACAAGCTGCTAGGTGACAAGTAGGTGGGTCACCTACTTGGTTAAATGATAGCCCAAAAAGAGGCAATTTCGGGTCAGACAAAGAGCCCATTAAAAGGCTTATCTTCTGCAATATATCCCTCATTATATTTCACAAATAACCAGACCTAAACCCTTGCAAACTTCCTCCCAAAAATTATCCACAAACCCTAATTGATTTTTCCTCTCTTTCAAGTTCAAATTGGGGGTAAACCCTAGAGTTTGAAGAACCAAGATAAGGGCTGAGTTATCCAACAAGTAAGGTGAGTTTTCTGCTATCTTTCATACATTTATTCTACTGTGAATTCATGGTAATTCGTTCTATACATGTAAGAACTCACGGGACGGTGATCGGAAGCCGTGAGTTCGAGTTATTCACTTGTAGCGGACTGTTTTGTGGACTGTTTTGTGTTGCTTTTGGGCTGCGTGTTTTACTACTGTTTTGTGGAGTTTTGGAGGAGGAAGGGTGTGGAGAAACACCATATAGATGTAGGGTTGGGGGCTGGTAGTTCTTCGTAACATTTCCGGGTCGTTTGACACGACTACGGTGGCCGTCGTATGTATAAAGTGATTTGGTTGTGCGTGGACTGTTTTGGGAGGCTCAATATGATTATTATTGATGTTGTTTGGGCTGTTTGGTGATTGTTTGGAATTGTGTGAAGTCATATATATAGGGGAGGTGCTGTCCGTTTCATCGTAAAATAGGTTGTGGTCGATACATAATAGTTATGACGCTTGAATGGTAACTATAGTATCGTTTCTCTTATTGTAGACTAAGGAGTCGTGAAAATTGCATAGCTTGAGATTGGGGCAGTATATACAAGGTATGTGAGGCTATCCCTTTCCTTCTTTTGCACGACTCCGATTGTACATAATGTAATGAACGAGCTTCCAAAGATACTCTACTCTTAGAAGCTAGCAGTACTTACATTGTTTCCCCTCTTATGGAACGATTGATGTTGATGTTGCTTCTCTTATTCTTATGTTATCAATGTTATTGGTACTTCCTGATTCTTATAAGGTTCATGGTGAAGAGTTAGTCCTAATAACGTGTACAGAGGATACCGACCTTACGTCACTCCGAAAGGTTTAGAACGTGAGTCCATGAGTCGAGCATGCATTATATATATGTATCTATTTTACTCTACCGAGCCGCGCTATAGTCGGTCGGGTACGAGACCTATTGTGCAACCACTGATCAGTTGGGTTTTACCGAGCTCCACGTGGCCGGGTACGTTTTTACCGAGCCTATTACGGCCGGGTACGATATGATGATGATGATGCCCACAGAGGCGTATGTTTTAAAAGCATATGTATATATACATATGTATCACGCATTTCATGTCAGTAGCCCTTAGAGGTACCCAGATGTTACAGGTTGTTTATTCTCTATCCTTGCTTACATTACTGTTCGTACTTATGGTTCCCTGCCTTACATACTCAGTACTTTATTCGTACTGACGTCCTTTTATTTGTGGACGCTGCATGTCGTACTGCAGGTCCTGATAGACAGGCAGGCGCAGCTCCCCCACCATAGTAGGCTGTCCAGTTCAGCGGTGATTGGCGAGATCCCTTCTTCGGACTTGCCGTGGTCTTGGTATGCATTTTTGTTATAGATATTATGGGTATGTCGGGGCCCTGTTCTGGCTATGTTGCAATACTTATGTTCCTTTAGAGGCTCATAGACAGGTGTCGGCTCATGTATAGTTTGGTAGGCCTTGTCGGCTGGTTTTTGTTGTATAGTCTCTCATGGTAGTGTGGTAGCTCGTACCTTATATATAGTTTCTTGATTGTCTAGTCATCCCATGTTATGTATGTTCATGACATCATATTTTATTGTTGGTTGTCCATGACCCATGTCTACCATTCATATTGATCTCGTCAGCCCTAAAAGATGATAAAGAAGGTTAGATAAAATGTATGTTGGTACTCGGTAAGTATGGCCGGGTGCTAGTCATGGCCCTCCAGTTTGGGTCGTGACAGAGAAAGTCACTAAAATCTTTAGTTTCTATCTCAGTGACAGGGTTGCCATACTTCCTATCTTCAACCTGTAGAACTGCATTGTAATCACCCATGGAAAGCCAAGGGTCCTGCTGTGAGCTCTGTATATTCCTTAAGCCATCCCACAGTCATCTCCTATCTTCTATTGTGTGCAAACCATATACAGCTGTAAACTGGAACTCCATGCCCAAGTTATACACTTTAACTTTACAATGAATAAACTGTTCTGTAGTCTGCTCGACATCAAAATTAACAACATTTTGATCCCACATTATCCAAATTCTGCCTCTCCTATTGTAGTTGTAATTGTGACACCAGCTCCACCCAGTCACTATCTTCTTTATGATTGCTGCAGCATTACTTTCTTTGACTCTATGTTCTATTATTGCTATTATTACTATATTATTATTCTTTATAAATATCTTCATCTCCTTTTGCTTGTAGGTCTTATTAAGACCTTTAACATTCCATGTAGCTAGTTTCATGTGGGAATAAACAGGTGCATATCACTTTCATCTCCCCATTGTCTTCCTCCACTCATATTTGTGTTACTTATCATCCTTTCTCCTTCTGGTATTGTATTGTGTCTACTTAGAGGATCAAAACAATTTACCACTTCCACAGGTTTCTCTCGTTCAGCAAGTATAGTAGGCGATGTTGTTCCTTCGCCCGGGTTGCTCCTCTGCCCTTTGTTATAGCTCCCCTTTGCAACTAACTTGTTTCGAACTATTTGCCATTGGCCTCCTTGTGATTGATCATCTTCAGGATTAACTTCTTTGATTTTTCCTTCCACCTCATTCTGCTTTTCTTCAATCTGTTTCCCTTTTCCCTTTTCCTTTTGAGCTTCTGATGCATATTGCCCCTTATTCCCTTGAATGTTTCCTGTTCGTCTCACCCATTGTTGTTTTGGTTTTGTAGCTTCATCTTTTTGCTTTCCTACAGGTGCTTTCTTATTCTGAGACATAGTGCATGAATGCCCAACCTGTAAGCATATATGACAATATTCCGATACCCAGTCGTATACTATCTCTTGATCACAAACTCCTCCCGTCGGATCTTTGACCTTTATAGTCTTTGGTAAGGGCCTAGTAACATCCATTTCCACTAGTAATCGAGCATATGAGATTCTTTCCACCTTTGTTGTGCATTCATCTGCATAGACAGGTACTCCAAGTCCATTTCCAATTCTGCTTAGTGTCTCTCTTTCCCAGCAGCTCAGAGGCAAGTTTGGCAGTTTCACCCATAGAGGGATCGTTTACAATATTTCATTGTGGAAATTGAACGTAGGTGCCCAGGCTTTGATAATAATTGGCTTGCTATTTATCGTATATGGCCCAGAACATAGAACAACATCCTTATCTTCTATACTATTGAATCGAACAA